AACAAGAGAAAAAAAATTTTATGTTTTGTTTTTTTTCTTTTGTTGTAACCTTTCTTTTATGTACATAAATATCTATGTGCGCGTTTTCTCTTTTTTCTTTAACACTTAGAAACACACAGTATTTTTCTTGGCGAATGCACACATATATACAAGCATTATATTAGCAGACATGTATGCTTTTGCTCAGGTTACAACTGCTGCACTTTGTCTTTGTCTTTTATTGTCTTCTTTTGTGTGTATGCTGAACAGTCCTTTTGTTCTCGTATGTTAAAACTATATACGGATTTGTTCTTTGAAAATTATCTATCAAGCGAAATTATCTGTTCCTTATATACTAATGTGTACCTCTATCCACTGCTTTCTTTACATTATATACATATATATATGTACGTATATATATATTCTAATAAGAACATCATAATACCTTGTGTTTCTATTCTTTACTGTAGATTGTGCGAAATAAAATAAAGAGAGTACGTTTTGCCATATAATCTATTTTGTTTTTCTATATTTGATTCAGAATTATACAAACAAAACATGAATGTTATTGTGTCTAGTAATATTACTAGGGAATAATTAATTTGATGTAGTCAATAACTAAAATTAATATTACTAGTAGTGCTTTTACTATTTATTATAATACTATCAGGCTCATTTTTATGCTTGTTGTTTTTCTCAGTGTAAACTCAACTGTGATATAAACTAATCAAAATAATGAATAGAATAGGCATGAATTCAAAACAAATCATTATATATTCCTTGGTCTATATTTATTAACTAATATTAAATATTAAATAAAAGCATGTTCTATGAGTTTAATACAATAGTGTAGTTTATACAAATTTGCTTTTGTTAAGATAAAGATTAAATTATTTAAATTGAAGACAAAGTATTATTAAAGAAACTTAATATGACATAATTCAATATGGTTTATTAAATTTCTGGATTTGTATAATCATGATAATGAACATTCATCAGCTATTATCATATTTTCAAACCGCAATGAATTAGTAATATCAGCTTGATTCATTTGCATAATATTGGCTTTTTCCTGCATATGACTACACACTGTATAAAAAACATGAAGTGGTATCAATTCGTTCGATCGATGCAGTTAGATATACCGAGTTTTTTTGTGTTTGCACCTAATAATTCTTAGTTTTGCATATTTTGGTATCTTTTTCATTTTCTAGTCAAGCTTTGCTTATAATAAATTAATGTCAGCTGTTGGGCATCTCAAAACTAATTAATTAGAATACTATAGGAAGATCAACTGTCAAGAATACTGTGATATTTTTTTGGTTCATGAGAATTTATTAGGCTTGATTTAATTAATATTTTCCTATTCGATTGATGATAATTTTACTTATTAGAAATACATTAATACCTTTGGTATTATACTTAATAAACGTTAATATCAGTCTTTTTTTCTTCTGTTCTTTTTCATCTATGTTATACAGATAAATAAAATTTTACATAACAAGTAGATATATGTATGTTGACTGAAAGATAGATAATACTATGTTATATAATAGAATTGCTGCATGTTCGACATAGTTGTTTAATTTGTTTTGTAATGAGAAAAAAAAAGAATACGACTTCGTTTTAACTTTTATGAATGTGAGTTCATTCAATCGAAATATGACATCATACAATAGAAATTTTAAGAGTATGGCAACAGTTGGCATTGAGTCTACTTGTTTGTTCAATGATACATATCAAGTATTATCATACACTTAGACTGCTTCTTTAATAAAGCATTATTTAATCATCGAATGAATCAGATGTTGAAATATTTTTTGTACGATGAAAAAAGTTTATTTTTTAGAGAATTTTTAAAACTAATTAATCAAAATGATGACAAAGAAAACTATAGAAATGATTTGAATGAGTAAATATGTAGATGAAGCAATTAAAAGAATTCTTAGATTTCATTCATCTTTTATAAAAGAAGGAATCAATTGATATAGTTAGTTCGATATTCATTATCTGAAAATATTTATTAGTCAATTTGACATGTAATATTTTCTTGCGTGATCTGTCGATACTTTAACTGATCGATTGATGATTAACTATTTGTAAATTTATTCGTACTCAATGAAATGATATTCAGGTCAATGAGTAGAATTAATACATTCAATGGATAATAACTATTTCATTTTTTTTGAATGGTGGTAAATATGTAATTTAAAGGTTATTTTGGTTTAATAGATTAAATAGCTTAATCAATCTTTTTCGATTAAAATCTAATCAAGAAAATAGTATATCCATCTGTTTTTGTTATTGTTATGAAAATCTATTAGTTTTTCTATCGTCTAGAATTAAGCAAAAACAAGAATAAATACAAATACATATATATGACAGACCTGAAATGCCACAATGTACAATTTAATTCACTACATTCTAACATAAGATATATAGTTTCTTTTCTGAGAACCCTATGCGAAGAAGTCAATTGTATAGTATTATCAATAAAAAAAACAAATTAACTTGATATTCTTGTTATGAAATAAGTGCCCTTTCTCTTCAATCTCAAACAAAGTTCAAAACACTAAAAATTGTATTATTAAATTTTACTGCAGATTTCGTTGACCTTACTCCCGTTGCAAACACTTTCAGACTGCTAAGAAGGTTTTTTCTTTATTTATTTTTAGTGGTTTCACCTTTGGCATTGACTGAAATAATTGCTATTATCACTATATAATTGTATTTCTGTATTTGACATATTTTCCACTAGGCACTTTCACCATACACGAAATGATAACTAGTAGCATAGATCCTGAAGGATTTCTGCATAATAATAATAATATTATTATGTCTACAAATTGATTTGAAAAGAATAGTGATCAAGTTAAAGCTTTATATTGTGTCTCTAATTATAGTGTTAAAAATAGATTGTCTTTTTTTACATACACCCACAACGCTATACGTCAATGTACCTAGGAAATAGATTTCCTACTAATAGTATTTTTTTTACAATTACTCATGAATATATTTAAACTCGCATGCCTATTAGAAGTACGCGTGCAAGAATCTCAGTATGCTACTCGTGTACTCACTGTGTAATACTGACTGCACACGAGTCATCATATTACAGCTATTGATTACTTCAGTGGTATTGTTATGAAATACTGATGGACTTACATTCTGTCAAGTAATACCCGTACTTCGTCCATTTTACATAACGAAAAAAATCAACCATTTAACACATACATATTGTTATGAAAGTTAGAAAAAAAGTAAAAGTACTGCATTCTCTATAATAAAATCAGAAGTATTCTTTTGTAATATTATGAAGTACTCTTATTTTAAAGTGAACTTTTATCAAAAGTGAATAACGTTAAAATATAATTTTATTTCTCTCGATGAAGTTCTTTTCTAGTGCAAAGTTTTTGATTTATCAAAAGGAATATTTATATGACGCACGATGAATATATATTTTAGTTTTAATTAAATCTTTGATGGACATATAAAGTTCAAAGGAATATACAAAAATATAAAAAATAAGATATATCAAATAGGCAAAAAAAAAGAAAGCGAAAACAAAAGAGACTTCAGATACTATAGACATACAGATACAAGAAAAAAAACAAACACTTGTTATATTATGTTCAACAAGAAAGAAAATAGGGATGCTCAAATGAGAAACAGTTATCTATTTACAAATAGAACACACACACGCACACACACAAAAACACGACAGATAATGTTCAATTAATATTTTAACATAATTATCACATAAGTTACAGACTTTTTTTTGTTTTAATTATTCAATAAACAAATTTGAATCATCACCAAAACCAGACGATCCATCGGAAAATAAACGTATGCGAGCAAAATCTAATGACATTAAATCTTCATGTTGACGATTATTCTTCAAAAAAAGAAATAATAATTTATCAAATCGAAATAATAAGTCTATTAACTTACTTGTTTACATATGGCATTTGAATAGACATTATGTCGATTAATTGAAATTGGAAAAAAACGTGATTCACAAGTACTATTCAATATCGGTGAAGAGTTTGTTTCATAACCATCATCCGGTGATGAATTTTGTATTCCAGCCAAACGAAGTAAATCCGGTGTAAGAAATTCTTCATAATTCGATGATTCAATTGAAATAATTCGATTATGAGATTTTATTGGTGATGTTATAGGTTGTGAATAATATAATGGTGTATTACTAGGTCGACGAAGTGGTTGAATGTATAAATATTCTTAAAAAACAAAGAAAAATTCGAATTTTTAAAAAAAGGAAAATTTTCTTTACTTTGTTGTTTCCATGATATTGCATTTGTTTTATTTATAGTAGCAGCAAATTCAACTTTAAGTTTTCGACCTTTTAGCATTGCACCATGTGTTTCTTGACGTGCTTTTTGAGCATCATCAGCATGAACAAAACGTACAAATGCATATGATTCATGGAATTTTGCACATTCATCAATAAGACCATATGGTGAAAAAAATCTCCAAAGGTCACGTTGTGTTATACGTGCTGCCATATTACCAACAAATAATTTATGATCGTCCATGATATCTAGTGGTTATTCTATTTTATTTGAATAATAAATTTCTTATAATACAACTTACTATTTCTAGATGTGGTTAATCGAACTAAATAAGATGATAAATGATGTTAAATAAAAAGCTAAATTTCTTTTTCTTTTCGATTTTATTTCAATATACGTCCATGATGTAAACAGATATATACAAAGAAAGAATGATAAAGAAAATACTAATAGTCAGTAATCTTTCATAAGACAAATCACGTGTTTGATTTATAAAATAAACAAAATTTTATCAAGTAACAAGCATAACATTATCATTTGTCATATCTTCCGTTGTATTTTGATAAATACGATCCTCATAATGTTGTAATGGTACCATATGATAAACAGGTTGAAAGCTTAAATTAATAAACAGAAAATTAAGATTTGTTTTTTTCTTCTTTCTTTATGAAAAAAATAGAATATATATTTACTTTGAAAATCGAAGTTTTCGATGTTTACATGTATAAAATAATAATATAATGCATAAAAGAAATACTGTTGAAAATAAAACGAGCACTGTCGTTATAAAAATTCCATACGATGATCGACATCGTGATACATCTAATGTATTTAATAGAATCTGTTTGTTTTGTTGATCAAGACAACTAAATAATTGATATATATGTAGATATAATAAAATATATGAAAATGAATATACATACTTCACTTGAGTTGTATTTTGAGATTTTAAAAATTCATTAAGCCAACGTAGAGAACATGAATTACAATAGAGAAAATGACTAGTTATATCAAGTTTATCAAGGTGTTTTCGAGATAATAATGGTCGAAATACTTGTTCATCGATTGTTTTCAAATGATGATTACTTAAATTAAGCTATAAAAGAAAACAAAATTGAATTGTAAAAATTAAGTCTTATGCAAATTTGTTAACTCGGTCAGTTAATCGATGATATGAGTAACATCTCTAGAGTGGCTATTAAAAACGATATAATTTCCAATATATAAATTCATGGTCAAGCTAAGTGTGCTTCAAGTTTAGAGTTTACGGATGTCCAAATTTTCGCGAAAAACTCTAATCATCTGGTTTTGATTGCTCTAATAAATACTCTGGACTGTACTGAGTCGACTGGTGATACTCAAGAAAAAGAAGCATACCGTTACAATTTGCCGAAAAACTGAAAATGGTAAACTTCAAATTTGGAGCCCACTTAACTTAACCTAAATTCATCGATTTGAATAGTTTAACTTATTAAAAAATTACCGTTTTTAGTTTAGTTAGTTTTTTAAAGATACAATTCTTTAATTTCGTTGTTGTTAAGTTTACTAAATGCAATTGTTCAAGTTCAATAAGATTTTCGAATAATAAACATGAAAGATCACTTGTTGTTAAATTAAGATATAAAATTTTTAAACTAGGAGGAAATACATATTGTTTTCTTGATTTCATTTCTTTTAATTTTAATGGATTTGCTGATAAATCAAGTTCATTTAATTGTTGTGATAAATAAAGTAAATTCGATGGAATATTTGCAAATAAATTATAATCAAGTCGAAGTTTAGATAAATGTGGTAGAGTAAGAGTAGAATTCGAAAAATTCTTAAATAAATTTGAATGTAAATCAAGTTCAGTTATATTTAATATTTGTAAAAAACAATTCGTATCAAATGAAATTAATTTATTTTTTGCTAACGAAATTTTCTTTAAATTTATTGGTAAATTCCATTGAATATACGTTGGAGTTTTTGAACAAGAGAATTCTTCTAGATCATTTTCATCAAAATAAATTTCATTTAAATATTTTAATGGAGAAAATGATATTAATCTATTATCGAGTATATATGGATTGATATATTTTAAAGCATTTGTAAGTTTAAGTATTTTTAATTGTGGAAATTGTTGTTCAGTAAAAAAATTTTGTATTATATGTTCAATTGGATTATAACTTAAATCAAGAAGTTTTAATTTAGGATAATGTAAATTTGTTTGATGTAATGTATATATATGATTTGATGTTAAATAAAGATATTCAATTGACGAATAGTTTTCAGTTATTAACTCTATATGATTGTTATCTAAATGTAATGTTATTACTTGACTATTATTATATAAATCTGGCATTGCAGTTAAATATGAATGCATTATTGATAATTGAGTAATATTTGAAAATGTTGAAAGATAATATGTTAAATTTGAAGTTATGTATTGATTATCTGAACAAATAAGAGTTTTTAAATCATCTTCAGATATAATACATTCTTTTCCAATTATTAAAATAAACGAATGAAGTAAAAATAAAATAATTAATTCTGTACGTTGCATATTGCTTTTAACCTATAAATGTAAAGTAATAATAACTAAGGCACCGACATATATTGACGTAAATATTATTTGTTTATGATGTGTGTTCTTAAAAATTTTGATGAGACCATCATATATCAGGCAAACAATTCCACTAATGAATGGTTAATCAAGCATCTTTTCCATAATAACATTAGATTGTTTGTCATTGATTGAATATCTATACACATATATATATATATATATAGCGAGAGAGAGCGACAGAAAGAGATAGAGAGAGAGAAAAGAAAAAACTAATAACTTGTATGTATATAGCATCTGTGTTGTTATTTCGCGCAAATGGGAATGACATTGTCCAATATAGATTGGAAAAATGAAAGGAAGATTGATAGGAAATATAGAAAGTTATATATATATGTTAATAATGAGTTTGTATATTATGATGACGGTTTCATAGAAAACACGTCATTTTTGATCAATATTTAACTGAATTGCATGACAAACTAGAAGAAGAAAAAGAGAATTATTAATTATAGAGAAATATTAGAAATTCTATAAAGTCATTCGATACTTGTAAATAAAATAGATCGAAAAGTAACTGTATCATTTGTTGTTTTGAGTTATGGAGTAATTTCTCAGAATATAACACCAGCACATAATTGAATACGAAGAAAAAAAAAGAAGAGGCTAATTATTTGCAGATTGCTGACAATTTATTGATTAAGATAGTATTCTTCAAAAACAAACATCTACTGTTTTTCATATGATTTTTTGATTATTTAACGCGTGTCATAATATAATTATTAATGAGTTTAGAATCATATAATTCTTACCAGTATTAGATGTTGTATTACAAAACAATGAGTTGTATACTTAACTAAATCGAGAATTATATAATAAAATAGAGAACATATTTCCCATGAGATATTTATACAATAATATTTTTCATCATGAACGCACTGTTTAATCAGTAATTGATTAAAAAAATATGTAGAAAGTTAAATAGTTTTTTTTGAATGAAAAGAAAGAACATTTTATGTTACTTGTTTAAATATTGTTGTATATGTTATCTTTTAGAATATATCAGTCGAAGAATTGAGTAAGAAACGCTCACTAAGCAGGATCAAACAGGGAGAAGAAAAGACAAATATATATTTTCTATTGGAATATAAAATAGATACGAACAATGTAGCTAATCTTTTAATTCCTACAGGAAATCGATTTCATATCGATCTAAATAGAAGAGATCTCGGTGACTTCTTAGACAAATTATCCATAAAAAAAACACAAAAACAATTGACATGATATTGGCCGAGGAATTGTGTAAATGTCACGTGAATAAAATTAGGGACGATCAATATCAGTGAATCCGCTGTAACACTGAAAGCACCGATATAAATATGTCTACGACATGAGTAAACGTTAGCCTCTCGGTGTACACTGTGTTGCAATCAGTAAACTGAAATTGTTCATCTCCACATACCATGGACGGCGCGCCAGCAATTGCGTCACCCATGTGCAGAACCCATCAGTATGTGAACGGATGTACACTATACAATCTTATCTAAAAGTTTATTGCGTCCCCTAAAAAATTGACGCTGCGCCGTCTATGCTGCATACATCAATATAACCCTTTAAGTACCATAGCTCAGCCAATGGATGAAACTTTGTTAGGACTTTATTTCTAACATGTATATTGTATGTTGTGAATATTTTCATTGAAAATTTTTAAAAAACTTTCGAGGTCATATTCGATCAATACCCGTACCCCCTTACGGCACGGTGGTACTTGAAGGATTATTAAAATGATAAATACCGCGCGAATACAAGCACCTACATGTCCCCTATGCCACAATGACAAGTGCACTTCGATATTGTTTCGCATTCGCAATTTATTCAGAATTTGTCAAATTTTAAAGAGTGGGGCTTATAGGCCCCGTTGGTACTTAAAGGGATAAGTAACCATTTGAATTATGTTTTTTAATTCAAAATCGATACTCTTTTATATTCAAATTTCTGATCAAAACTTTTCAAATGTTCGTACTCATTTCTCATAATAAGTTTGAATTGAAATAATTTCTAATCTATCATATATGATTATAATATTTATTGAATATCATATTGTCGAAAAAGTAATTAGTCGAACTAATCTAATATGTTAGAAAATATTTTCCTACTTTAAAGTTACAATTAATTTGTTTCATTATTCCCTCATGCCATAATAATTTTCTTTTCTTTGTTTTTTTATCAAGTGAAGACAATAGCACAAAAGAAAGAACAACAATACAAGTTAGGTTACGTTAGAGAAAGAAAAAAAAACAAATTGACGGACAAAAAAAAGAAAACAAAAGCAAGTTGTCATTGAAAACAAACTTTAACAAAAAGAATCATATTGACTTAAGTTTTTTTTTTTGTAAAACATGTGAAAGAGCCAAATCAGTAGTTGAATATTTACAGTTTGCTCTTTGAAAATGATACTCGAAGATGCATTGAATCTGCTAAACGATAATTATGCGTATTCTAAATAACAACAGAAGAAAAGATAAATATAGAAATTTATTTAATTTTAATTCTTACAATTAATGCGGCAATCGCTTCTTCAATTGTTTCCATTTCAATTAAAGCCATTTTACGATCTTTTTCAAAGAATTTAAATCGTTTTATTGTACCATATTGAGAAAATATATTTCGTATTTCTTCTTCACTTGTTTCATTTCTAAAATATTATAATAAATATTTTTGATACATATGAAAATTAAACATTTACGGTATATTAGATAAATGAAGTACACTTCCTGGTGGATGGATATTATTATAATTTTTTGAGCCTGGTTTTTTAAAACGATGTAATGGTGAATTCGTAAAATCTTTTGTTAAACCCATATCCTAGAAAACAGATTTACATATATAAGAAAAACTAGTTTTTTTTATTCAATACCGCAGCACCATCTTTAGGCATTTGAACAAATTGATGTTTAGAAAATGAAACTTTTATTTGTTTACCAAACATTGTTATATGATCAAGATTTTGATGAGCTATAATACAAATAAAATATATATTCTTATTTATCTGTAATTTCTTTGTTTGTACATACCGATAGCTGCTTGTTGTGGTGTAGCAAATTGAATTAATGCTGAATCTTTCTTATTAAATAAGATTTTTACCCGATGCACATCACCATAGACACCTAAGAGTAGATTTATTATATATATGTCAAAATTAATTGCTATTCTTGTTTTATATGTATATTGAATTTGATGAAAAAAATATAGAAAGTGAAATTAACGATAAGAATAGTATTCTGAACAATGCCTTTAAGTTTTATTGATATATATATCGTAAAGTACGAAAGATTACCGTTTTTTTGGTATAGACGAATTCGATACTTTTTAATAACTGTATACCATAAAGGTTAGTGTCAATTTCCATATGAGCAGATTAATAAAGTTTCTTTTTTTACTATTGATATCAAGATAGGAAGAAAATTGTATGATTCTGCTACTAGATAAGTTATCATTAGTTAATATTAGTTTAATGTACTAGAATGCATCTGTTGATTATCATCTACATGTAATCTTTAAATTATAAGTAATTGTATCAGATTTACTCAATGAATGATTTATCTATCTTTTCGCTATTTCACTTTCTATATTATTCTTTTCAATTTTTGTTACCCACTTAGAAGACATGAGATATGATTTGAAGAATTAGAAAATAGAAATATGAAATATAAAAGCTATCTTTTTCTTAGTTAAAGAAAAAACAATAAAAATAATAATAATAATAAAGTGTGAAAAGAAAGAGAAGATAACACATACCGAATAGCGTGAATAAAGACTCTGGAGTCGTCATCTAATCGTCCGGACGAGGAAAATAAAGAAAATAAAGAAGAAACGAATAGAAAGAATAAAAATAAAAATCATAATAAGATAGATTAGTTAAAAGATAAAAATAAAACAAATTTCTATCTTATCTTTCAAGAAAACTAAAATATTAAAGTAGAATTTCGTTTATTAACTTACGTTTTCATTAAGATTCGATACGAGTATAACAGGCCCATTTTGAACAGGCATCATATGAGGATTTTGTTGTTGTAATTGTTGTTGAGCTTGCTGATGAACAGCATGCATATGTGCAGCAGCAGCTGCATGACCTGGAGGTAGTCCATGCATAGGTGGCACTTGATGATGTGGTGAACCATATGGATGACCATATTGTGGTTGACCAGCACCTGGATTATATGTACTTGATGGAGCTTGTAATGGACTCATTAAATGACTACCACCAGCTATGGAAAAAAAAAGAATATATATCCTTTTCACGATAGTGAATATATATTTTACCTTGCATATCATAGCTAGGTGTTCCGGAAGTTGATGGTGGTCTACCACGGGCTGCTGCTGTGTAATAGTCTTCAATTAGAAAAAGTATTTAAGTAAATAGAATGAAGAAAAAAACAAGAGCATTATACCATAACGATAATCATCATTAGAAGTTGATCTTTGCAATGAAAGGAGATTTGCATTTGAATGCATTCGTTCTAAATAGAAATGAATAGTTATATTTACAAAATAGTTTATATATCAAAATACCTAATTCTTGTTGTTGTGGTGCAAGTCCTTCGCCTGATGGTAAGGTTGGATTCGTATAATCTCGGCTTTTATCATTATTAAATTTAACAGTAAGCGAATGAAGTTTTGAATATTCAATTTGAAGCTAAATTGTTTTATTTTAATAATACGTTTTTTCAAATTTGTATATGACTTACTGTACAACAACCATTATAAATATTTTGTCCATGTAATTGCTAGAGAAAAAAAGAAGAATCAGATTTACTTTTACTATTATCATTCTTCGCTGTTTATTTATCTGAGAAGTGTTAATATAAAAAAATCTTACTAATTTAGCTTGTGCAGCACCATTTGGATCTTTTGATTGAATCAATGCTTGAAATTTATCTAAATATCTTCAATAAAAATCTATATTCATCTAATCTATATTTTTTACCATTTTTCGTAAATGTAATGATTTTAAGTACTGTACCAAATTTGCTAAAGATCTAAGATATACAGAAATTAAAAAAAGTTAACGATATTTTTTTGTAATTACCTGATACAATACATCAATAGTAACAGGAAATAACAAATTTATAATGCTAACACGTAATACACAATTTGGTCCACCTTTTTGTGCTGTTTCATAAAGATCAGTGGCTTGTGCTAATGCAACATGTGCTTGTTGATTTGTACGATTTGATGGATCTGTACGAAGTTCACCATGATTTGAATATTGTGCAAATATTTGTCGACCATTACGCATTGCTGGTACGGATGTAAAATAGTCAACCATTTGTTTAGCTGAATCAGTTGCATCAAATTCAAGAAAAGCCTAAATGTAATTATTTATATTTATAATAATAATAATAAAAGAAAAGTTTGTTTTATACTTGTGCTTTTTTTCGTAAGTTTAAAAAATTTGTTACTCGACCAAATGGAAGACCAAGTTGAACAACTTCAAGTTCATTTGCTTCTATATTTCGTAAATGAACAACACGAGAAGGTAATGCGGGTTCTGAACGACTCTAATTTCAAAAAGCGACATCATTTATTATTGTTTGTCTTTTTTTGTCTTATAAAGAAAATTTACTTTTTTAGCAACATCAGTTATTTGAGAGTTTGAATTACTAACACCATCCCCATTTGTATCAAATTCATCGCTTGAAAATGTACGCTATATAAAAATAATAAATAATTTATATAATAAATTGAAAAAGTTTGAAATATGTACCTTCATATCGATCTACAAAAAAAAAGACAAAGAAATATTATAATTAAATGAGTAAAATAGTCAATAGTTTCATACTTCACTCGAGCACAGACGCAAGCACAAGTCTGTAAGCTCGTAATTCGATGTTGAATGGAACGTTTTGAAGTGTTTTTACACTTTGTTTGTTATCCTCTCTTCTATCGTCCGAAACAAAATAATCGGACAATATTGAAGTACGTAAATAGTTTGAATATTTTTCAATAAAAATCAAGCTCTTTTTTTTACAGTTGGAAAAAAAACGATAAGAAATAGAAGATAAATTCGATCGATCTTTTTTCCTTGTTTACCAATAATGATTATTGATACATAGAAAATCAACCAATAAAAAAAAGACTATACAATATACATTAAATTCGAAATTTAAGATTTAAAATAAAAACTATTTTAATATTTATTTCATTATAAAATATTGTTACTTTTTTAAAATAATTAAATAATCGATTGTGATTAGTCATATATTACAGCCAATCATGAATGAAAATGAATCACTATGACTATGTGTCCGGGAGTTGAAAAAGAAGGAAGACAGAAGATTCTGGTTTCTTTGTTACTAATAAAATTTATATCTATAAAATACAGAAAGAAGATTTTATATTTGATTTTTAGATGGAAACTGAAAATAAAGACGAAGTTCTTAGCAATTTTATTGCTATTACACAATGTTCAAATGAGGAAGCAACCCGTTATTTAGAAGCTGCTCAATGGAATGCACAAACAGCTATGGAAATCTTTTTTGATAATGGTGGTTCACAAGCTGGTGAACCAGCTGTTTCGAGTAATATTGCACCACCCGCAACAAATACGAATCAAAATGCCCCTGGTTTGTATATATTTGTTTAGCATATTGTCATGATATGAGTATATGCTTTCTTTTTTTAATTTATAGGACAAATAGCATCCGGTGGAACAGGCGGTTATGAATCTGATGATGAAGGTACAATGCAATCTGCAATTGAGGAAAGTCTTCGCGCTAATGCAAGTGCAGCAAAATCAACAGAATCAAAAGGAGATAAACATAAAAAATCAACAGCACCACCATCAAAATTTGGTACTATTGGTGGATTACATAATGATGATGATAGTTCTGAAGAAGAAGGTTATTAATTAGAAATTTGACTTTGTAGAAACTATAAACTTTGTTTGTTTTTCTTATCTAGGACAAGCTTTTTATGCTGGTGGTTCTGAACGTAGTGGCCAACAAATTATTGGACCATCAAAAAATAAAGGCAAAGATAATGATAAAAAAGTAGCTAAAATATTTGAAGCTGCTCGTAAACAAGGTGCTATGGAAGCTGATGATGATAATGAAGATGGTTCATCACCGCATGCTAGAAAAGAAAAACCATTTGGTGGTGTTGGATATACTTTAGGTTAGTTAATATCTTTTATTATTCTTTCTTTTTAATTTTAAAATTTGTTTTTATATAGGAGATGATAGTACACCTTCTCGTTCCTATGGTCAATCAATTGGAGGACCACCATCAGCTGCTGCTTCGAGTCAACCTGAACAATTACCACTTCGATTCTATTCAAATGGATTTACAATAGGCGATGGTGAACTACGTAAATTCGATGAGAATAAGGAATTTATGGATTGTATTAAACGTGGTGAAGTACCACCTGAACTTAGAGCATTATCTGCTGGTGGACGACAAGTTGAAGTAAACGATCAAAACTGTGAATCTAATTTGATAGATTATAAAATTTTCTTTTAGGTACGTCTTGAAGATCATCGAGGTGAGGAATACAAGCCCGTCGCACCACAATTCAAACCATTTGGAGGTTCTGGTTATATGCTTGGTTCACCAGCACCCAATGTCGCTCAATCAGCAACTACAACACAATCTTCAATGAAATCATCCATGGCATCTTCTAGTAGTACACCTTCAGCATCTACTGATTCAAATCGTCTAGAAAAACTTGCTGAACAACAATTGAAAACATCATCATCATCGACTACTATACGTCTTCGTTTACCAGATTTATCAACACCAGTACGTGTTGTAATTGATCTTACTCGAACATTAGCTGATGTACGTAAATTTCTTACTGAAAATGTTCCATCACTTCAATCAAATCAATTCGAATTTATTGAACCACCTTCAACAAAAATAAAACGTGAAGATGAAAGTAAAACAATTGGTGATGCAAGATTAACAAATGCTACACTTGCTATTCGTCGAAGTACTTAATTTTTTGTTAAACATTTATCGTTCTTATGTATACGAGAAAAAAAATTACACAGCGATCTCTACTTTCTTTCTTAAACTGAGTACACGCTTTCATTACATTCTTTTCTTTTCTTTTCTTTTCTCTTATAATAAAAAACTTGCTGTAAGCAAACATAAATAAACATATTTCACAATGATGAATCACAGTTATGCAATGTTTTTAGATTCATTATGACGAATTATTTTCATGCGTTATTTTAATATATTATATAAAGTGTGTCTATCACGATCGAGTCATTCAAATACTTTCAATATATTAAATCGATCAAGAAAAAAGTTTCGATCTTTTTTTCCTAGAGAAAAATACTTAATCATAGATTGACATTTTAGATTACCAAATATGACTCAAGAAAATGATTCACAAACAAATTTAATAACAATAGATGGATCATATATAGAAGGGGTAGGTGTCTTATCAAGGATAAAAAAACAATTAACCTAGCTAAACGCACGAATGAGTTTTAAAAACAAAAATACAAGTTTTTGTTTTCGTACAAAAGCATAATAAGATGATCCGAAAGAATAATCATAAATATTTTATTTGAATTCTTCGGTAACTGAGAATACAATTTTACTAATATAGTATTTATATAACCACATATTACTATTGATAATTTTTCAGGGTGGTCAAATACTGCGTAATTCAACAGCATTAAGTGTTTTATTAAGTATTCCTATTTGTGTCGATAAAATTCGTGCTGGTCGACAATCAGGAGGATTACGACCGCAACATTTAACTGGTATACAACTTTTAGCACAATTATCTGAAGCTAAATTACAGAATGGAAAAATTGGTTCAACAGAAATATTTTTTGTACCGAAAGTCATCAAAGGTGGAAATTATCTAGCTGATACAAAAACTGCAGGGTATATTTGATCAAAAATATTTTTTATTAAATCAAATATATTCATTCTATTTATTATAAATAAGGAGTGTATGTTTAATGATGCAAACTGCTATTCCATGTTTACTTTTTGCAAATGATTCATCTCAATTACGATTACTTGGAGGAACAAATGCAGATTTTGCGCCAGAAATTGATTATTATTCAATGGTAATTTTCAAAATAGAAAATAACAAACATTATCTTCTTTTAATAATAGGTTTTTCAACCAATAGCTAAAAAGTTTAATTTTAATTTTGATATGAATATAGTTCGTCGGTTAGTAATGATTTTTTCTTGAATTATAAAATATATTTCGTATCATTAATTTTTAGTGGTTATTATCCGAAAGGCGGTGGTGAAGTTCGTATTACTACAAATCCAGTTGATCATTTAGTAGCTGTTGATTTAACAGAATTTGGACAGATTAAACGATTTTTTGGTCGAGCTTTTGTTGCTGGAACTTTATCGAAACGGGTATGATGAAATTATTTTCGAAACAATATTTAGATATTGTTATATATCTAGATTGCTCATGAAATGGCTGAAACTGCACAAAAATTAATACATAAACGACATTCAAAAGAGATTCCAGTAGAAATTGAAGTTGTAAAAGAACCTGATAATATGGCTTTTGGAACAGCAACTGGTATTATGTAATAAAAACAAAATGAAAATATGTTCCGCTTTATAATATATATTCATTTACATAGAATTGGAGCCGAAACAACAACCGGCTGTATACTTGCAGCAAGTTCACTAGGTAAACGAGGTGTACCAGCACATGAAGTTAGTACTCAAGCAACAGAAGATTTATTGTATGATTTATCATATCAAGCATGTGTTGATCAACATTTACAGGATCAGGTTTGTTTATTACAAATAATAATTAGAAAAATATGAATTATATTTATTTATACGATAGTTAATTATTCTAATGACTCTTGCTAAAGGTCATTCAAAAATTCGTTGTGGTCCATTAACAGATCATACTAAAACAGCTATGTATGTTGCTGAACTTTTAACTAAAGTTAGTTTTAATTGTATATATAAATATCTCTTATTTTTTCAATTTTTATAAGGTTAAATTTATAATTACAGAAGTATCATCAAATTCTATTGAACCACAAGCAGCAGCAGCAGGTGCTGCATCTAATAGAACAAATTCTGCATTTATTATTGAATGTGAAGGACTAGGATATCATCGACGATCATAAGCTTATTCTTTTTATTTGTTAAAATATTATTGTTACTATATTTTATCCGTCGGAAAATTATGATATATATATATTCTAGATAAATATTTATATACATCGAAATGCCTGTTAAGAATGTATCTAATGGTGAATTAAAAAAAGAATTAGAACGAGCAGGTGAAAAACTAGTATTTATTGATTTTTTTGCAACATGGTAATTCACTAGTTTATTTATTTTTCATAAAAAACTATTCGTATTTATAGGTGTGGTCCTTGTAAAAAAGTTGCACCAGCTATTGATACATTAAGTGAATCTCATCCTAATGCTATTTTTCTTAAAGTTGATGTTGATGAATGTGAAGTAAGTGAAGCATTTCTCTTCTTCTTTCTTCTTTTCTAAAATACTAATTAATCATTCTAGACAGAAGCTCAACAATATAAGATTGAGGCAATGCCAACATTTGTATTTATTCGTAGTTCAAAAGAATTAGAACGTATACGTGGTGCTGATATAGATGCAATTAAGAAAACACTTGCTAAACACTATAAGGAAACATCAGCATTCGGTGGTGAAGGTCATTCAATGTTAGATTCAAAAACAACAGAAACTGCATCTTCGAAAGCAACAGTTGAATCGGATCGTGAACGTTTCGAAAAAGTAGCTGAAGAACGTTTCGGTACTAGTAAAGAAGGTGAAACAATGACAACACTTCGTCTTCGTTTACCTGATATATCGAGTCCAATTTCAATTCGATTGAGTACTGAACGAACATTAAATGATATTCGTCATTTAATTTGTGAAACAATCACATTATTTGAAACAACACCATTCGAATTTATGGAACCACCAGCAATCAAAATAAAATTAGATGATGAAAATAAAACAATAAAAGAAGCAAAATTAATGAATGCTGTTTTAATAATTAAAAAAGTTTAATTTTATTTTTTATTTGAATAAATCAGAAAGAGAAAAAAAACAAATTTGTTCTATCTCGATTTCTTTTTCCACTTATTCGCATTAAGCAATTATCTTCTTGACAAGCAATCGATATGTTCCTCTGAGAAGTACTAGATGATTTTTTTTCCTCTCATTCTTTTTTCATTCATCGACGTTATTCAATCATTTATTGAACATGACGTGACAAAGCAGCTCCAATTTATTTATTTTTTTTTCCTAAGAAAGAAAAAAAAGGAAGTATTTCTATTTTTCCTCGATGTGCACGCATGGAAATACATCGTTATGGGAAAATGCACGAGAAACAACGTTATTTTCCTTTAGCACATTTATTCTGTTATATCCGAAAGCAAAAGAACAAGTGAGTAATGCAATTTTTGCTTTTTTCTACAAAATAACAATGATATATTCGAAATAAGAACGTATAAACGAAAAAAAAGCGACAAAACTATCATCACATTAATATATATATATTGTTATTACGACCATGTGCATAGTGTAGTAAAATAAATCAATAAAAAGAAAAAAAAACACATCAAGATAGTCAGTTATTTTACATTCGTGCTGTTTAAAGTACTTCATCTTTTATTTTTCTCTAGGTAACTTTAATTTGTGAGACGTTAAAGTGACATCGAGACATGCCTTAGGAGACATTTAACCAGTTGTTTTGATTGTTTTCTTTTGTCCTGATGTGCCAGGGTTTATATTTAAAGGCAAAAGCATCTTTTTTTTTATAGTTAATATATAGTAAATATATTTTTCTATTGAGAATGTTCAAAATGACTCGAGGGGGAAAGAATAAGAAGTAAAAGAAAAGTGCAAGCAAGTCGTATAAAATAACAATGCTTACATGTGTCTTTTCAAGTTTAGAAATTGGATTTGTGGTAAGAAGAAAGAAAAGAAGAAGAAAAAGATTTCATTCGACAAGAAATTGGAATCGACCTTGACAATCAAAAAAAAAAAGAGAAAAAAAATGAAATGTAATTTTTCTTTTTGTCGATTGAATCAAAAAAAAAAGTTTTTTTTCTCAACTGCGAAATGACTAGCAGGTAGTTAGTATCGAAATATTTTTCTAACAATTTAGTTTAATATAGAAAAGAGCATATACTATCAAATTTCGCTCATTCTCTCGTGCTTTGTAATCGACCATAATAGATGATAAATTTGTTATATTTTATTATTTTTTGATGTATAGCACGCGCTTAGAAATTGATTTCTGCTTTTTCTCATCACTATTCTCTTTACACTTGATTGATGATATAAAGCTAGTAGACAACACGTATGCTTGTATTGATAAAAGATATGGTGGATAGATTCATAAATAGTGATAAACCTGAACATTGTTAATAAGATGTATGGCGTGAATCGCTTGGATTAGTACAGTTAATAGGAACATGTTGCTTATATTTTGTGCCTCAATAATTACCATTAACCTTTAGTTGAGTATAAATATGATGTTGTCTATCATTTGGATATCATCATTTTGATATATCACCTGGAGCGATGTGGATCTTTTGTTGTTTATTGTTGTCAGAATGATAGAGTTGAGAAGAAACAAAAAAAAACGCGACTAACTACGATGGGAGAATACATCACCACCTGGTGGTAACGTTGTTGAGATAGGAGAGAGAGAGAAGACGTCTATATGCTAGTATAATCAATATTTGTTCCGTCGGTTAGACATTATTTAGACAACGTTTGAACTACTGAATTCCAAGTATGCCTGTTGACCAATTGTATAAACAGATACTTTCTATCAACAGTATATTTTTTATGTATGCTACTCGAAAAGAATGATATACTACATCTCTTAGCTTATCTTATGTCTTTCTTCAAAGGGCGTTTTTTTTATTCTATTACATAATAGCAATAATCGATTAACTCGTTCTTATTGTTATCTATCTTTTTTCTTTTCTCACCCATATATCTGTGCATACACGTATTTATGCGTCTATAATCACTCTATTCATTATAGATGTTCCGGCAACTAATTCAGACATATTAGAATAAGCAGCTGGTTTTACTAGTATAATAACTGTCAATAGATATATCGAATGGCCTACTTCTGATGATCTTCTTTAAGGTTTGTTTGACCCTACGTCGTTCGTGATAAATTTCTTTTCGCTGCTAGGACAAAAGAATCGGCAAAAAAATATATATATAGAATAGGAGAAGAAAAGAAAAAATAGACGAACTTTCGACTCTTTCTATTTTCTTTATGATGAAATCATTGTTTACTTCCATTAAAATATTAGTACATTGATTTCTTTTTCCTTCTCTTCTATTTTTCTCCTTCATTTTGTCGTTCTAGTAATACAACGTACTCTTTTTTCCACACCATTACATTGGTCGATGTTATATTTTTGTCTCTCTCTCTTCTGTTTTCTCTTATGTATAGTTATATATGTTATATTCTTAGGGGTTGTTTTGCGTTTTCTGCCCACGCATGCACATGTATGTGTTTATATGACTTCAAGAACGTTTTATTATTTATTATGATACTAATGCAAGTAAACCATTTACCTTTGCCACACCTCCATTACCCTTGATAGTTACATCTTAAATCGAAATTTGTTTTTTTTCTTCTAAATATTAATTCTACTATCGAGATAAATGATAATTATTTCTACTTATGTTTCAGTATTTGTCTTACATTTCTCGTGTGTCTACGTGTCTATTTTGATCAAAATAAAGATAGAACATGAAACAAACAATTGACAGTCTTCCAATAACGACAACAACATCTGATATTTCTAAATGTAATGGTCATCAAGATGATCTCATAGAAACTCGTAGAGATTCTGATAATGATGATTTAGTAACAAGTATAAATAATAATGAATTAGTATCATCATCAACAATAAATACAAATGAACTTATTATTTTACCTGATTCATCATTTAATATTCGTATTCAAGCATCTGGTTTAGATACATTTGAATTACCTGTAACATCTAGTGAACTTGTTCAAGAAATTCATCAAGTATTAATGGATAAAGAAGAAACTTGTCATCGTACATGTTTTTCATTACAACTTGATGGAAATGTTTTAGATAATTTTACTGAATTGAAAAATATCGAAAATTTAAAAGAAGGAAGTTTATTGAAAGTTATTGATGGTTTGTTAATAACAAAGAGATATATATACAATTAATTTTTATATTTTTTAGAACAATATACGGTTCGTGAAGTTCGTATACACGTTAGACATATAAATGAATTAATACATTCATGTGACCCGATTGATTCATATAATGGTACTAATGGATATTCATTATGTATTGTTAATGATATAACTAATGGAGATATTTCATCGAATAGTGGTAATGAAGGTTTTCATATTTTCTTTATTTATTTTATTATTTAGATCGAAAGAAAGGTACAGAAACAAATGGACTTGAATTTAATGTCCCTGAATATCTTTTACCAAATCAAAAAGATATTCTTCTTACACCTCTATTTGCTACAAATAGTAAAACTCGAGTATGTAATAAACAAAAATCTAGATATTCTTCTATAAATATTTATTTTAGCCATTACAATGTTTAAAAGTGTTATCATACAGTGGGTGGAATCCACCAAATGGTTCAAGAAAATTACATGGTTAGTTTTCAGACAAAATAATAATTAATATTATTTACTTTATTTTTATGAAGGTGATCTTATGTATTTACAAGTAACAACATATGAAGAAAAGTCATTTCATATAACAGCTTGTACAAAAGGTTTTTATGTTAGTCAGTAAGTACAAATATAAAATATTAAAAAATCAAATTTTCTATCTATTTTTATTTTTAAGAACAACGGATGAAAAATTTATTCCTAAACCGGTGCAACCTAAAGCTATTTATCATTCACTTGTCGATCTATTAAATAATGTATGATAACGTATTGAAATTCATCATTGATAAATTTCGATTTTCTTCTATTTAGATTAGTCCATTATTTAAAAAGACGTTTGCTGCTATTCAACGTAAACGTTGTACAAAACATCCATTTGAACGTATACAAATTCCAAGTCAAATTCATCCATGGTTATCACCACGTTTTGATCATACAGTTGATTTTTTTCGAGCAGAAGATGGTGGAAAAAAAATAATAAAATTTTATGACTTTAATATTCTGATTTTTTTCTTTATAGCAAATATCAATAAACTGGGACATGAAGATCACATACCAGGTCAAGTACGTGATTGGAATGAAGAATTACAAATAACGAAAGAATTACCAAAAAAATCTTTACCTGAAAGACTTATTCGTGAACGTGCGATGTTCAAAGTAAAAGAAAAAAAAACAAATAAATTTTTTTTTCTTACCTTATTTTTTAGGTACATAGTGATTTTGTTTCAGCTGCTATTCGTGGTTGTCAAGCAGTTGTAGATGGAAATATAATGGCAATTAATCCTGGTGAAGAATCAAAGTAATTATTTACTTTTCATCGTGTACATAGTCAGAAAAACTAATTGATCTATTACATAAATCAACACTTTTGCTAATGTAAAACATAATTAGTCAAAAAATAGAACTGCGATTCTTTTCTTGATTATGAGTAATATTTGACTGAGCAGAGAAAAACTTCAATTTAATAGTTGATTATTTTATGTTCTTTTTAAATAGAGTTCATATGTATATTTGGAACAATATGTTCTTCAGTCTTGGTTTTGATGTTAAAGAACATTATAAAGATTTTGGTGGTGATGCTGCTGCACATGCTGCACCAACAAATGATTTACAAGGTGTTCGTGCTATTAATACCATTGACTTAGATGGATTACATACATTAGGTACTGTTGTTGTCGATTATCGTGGTATGCGTGTTACAGCTCAAACTATTGTACCTGGTAAATGATTATATTAAGCAAAAAAACAATACTTCGAAATAAATTTCTTTCAGGTATTTTGGAAAAAGAACAAGAACAAAGTGTTGTATATGGTTCGACTGATTTTGGTAAAACTTGCACAACAAATGAAAAATATAAAGAATTAGTAAATAAAAAATAAATTGCTTTTTATATTAATGATAAAATCTTATTTTTATTAGTTAGAAAAAGTTTCAGCTATGCTTAAAATTAAACCACATTCAATAAAAACAGAAAAAGGTGATATTATAGAATTATTAACAGCTGTTGAATGTAAAGGAATTATTGGTAATGATGGACGACATTATTTATTAGATTTATTACGGATGATGCCACCCGACTTGAATTATCTACCAGGTTCGTAACTACAGTTTGTTTAGTTAAGTTTTACTATATAAAGACGTATTTCTCATATTGAATATCTCAGAATATTAATAAAAATATTTTTTCTTATTAACTATTTTAGTTGATGTTGAACACATATCGTCAGCTATGAAACAACTTGAGTATCCACAAACATATAAACATCGATTGTGTTGTTTAAGACAAGAATTAATTGATGCTTTCATTGAGTATGGAAAAATTTTTATTTAAAAAAAAATTATTTATTATAAAAAATATTTTCTAGACAAAAATATGTTGATTTCTATCGTTCAATTGCACTTAATTTATCCAAATTACGAACTAACGAAGTATATTTATAATTTATTTCAAAACAATAATAAATATTTTATTATTTAGTCAACAACAAATGATTCTACTGAACAAACAAATGTTGAAGAAGTTAAACGTATTGTCAATGAAATCAGTGGTACTACCAATCGATTATTAAATATAAAATCTAAAAACTTATTTTCTTTTTCTAGTTGAAGATAATAGTCGTGAAATAATTCAATCTGCATGTCGTTCAATTGGATCAGTGAAAGATAATGAATTTGATGTTCGATTTAATCCCGATCTATTTCAACCTCATGTCACACTGAATCAAACAGTATGGAAAACACTTTTTCTTGGAAAAAATATATATAAACTATTTGTTTTTATTAGGCTGTTGAAACAGCAGCTGATACGAAATTATTAAAAGAAGCAGCCGAATATTTAATACTAAAACAAATTCCATTAATGATACAAGATTTTCAAGATCATACAGCCGTACCTGTTGATGGTGAAAGTCTTTCAGAAGCTATGCATTCTAGAGGAATTAATATTCGTTATCTTGGTCGAGTAGCTCATCTTCTTAATCAACAACCATCTCTTATTTATCTTTATGTAAATAATGATTGTTATTTTAATGTTATTAATTGTTGATTTCTATAGGAAATTGCTGTAACAGAAATTCTTTGTCGAAGTGCCAAACATCTTTTTCGTAGTTATATACAATCTGTACCAATTCATTTATTATCATTTTCAATAAGTCATTTTCTAAATTGTTTTCTAACAATTATATCTTCACCGACATCTGAACATTTATCAGATGAATTATCAACAGTAACACATAATGGTACAACAAATACAAATTTACCTTTGACGAATTCAACCAATACTTCATCTCAAAAAACGAATAATAAGAAAAAAAATAAAAAACAACAACAACAGCAACAACGTAAACAGAATCCATTACTACGAAATGGTAAGATGACGTCAGTAATAGCTTTTACTTAATCGAAATTATTTTATTTTAGAATCCTTAGATTTTCTATCGCTAACATCAAAAACATGTTGGTTACAATTAACAAATGAAGCGAAAATAAAATATAATTTTGATTTAAACTGGTAAATATATATTATATATATTCAATAGAAAAATTTCATTTTGTTTATATTAGTGATGATATTGAAAATTTTATTGAAAAATATAATGTTCGTCGTACATGTATTTTACGTTCATTTTGTGTAAAAACTGGTATACAATTATCTATGCGAGAATATCAGTTTGATTTAACAAATAAATCAACACGTACAACGAATAATGAATGTTTTAATGAAGAAGATATTATCAATATATATCCTTTGATTAAACAAAATTCACCAAAAGTAAATTAGAAAACTCTTTAATTTTAAATAAAAATTTATTTTCTCGTTATTTTTTAAAAGCCAAGTGATGCATATCAATTTTTTACAACTGGTCAACAAAAAATTCAACAAGGTTTACTTCGAGAAGGTTTCGAATTAATATCCGAAGCACATAATTTATTAAATAATGTCTATGGACCAATGCATCCAGAAATTAGTATGTGTTTAAGATTATTAGCAAGATTAAATTATATTATGGGTGATTATCAAGAAGCACTTTATACACAACATAAAGCTGTTATGATGTCTGAACGTGTATTAGGTATTGATAATCCTCAAACAGCAACTGAATATGTAAGTTTTATTAAATAAAATTTAAATGATTGAAAGTTTTCTATATAAATTAGATTCATATGGCACTTTATTCATTTGCAAATGGTCATTCAATAAATGCTTCGAAATTACTTTGTCGTGCACGATATATTATATTAACATGTTGCGGAGAAAATCATCCACAAATCAGTTTAATTGATGTAAGAGAAAATCTTTGAAATAAATATTTATGAATAATTTTCGTTATTTATAGAGTAATCTTGGATTGATATTACAATCATACGGAGATTATGAAAATGCATTGAAATTTATGGAAAAATCTTTAGAATTGAATAAAAAGTAAGTTGAATGATTTTCTTTGAATAATATTAGTGATCTAGTTACTGAGTTGTTTATGCGTAACGAAATAAGCAAAGCGTGACGGAGTCATGTTTTACGTGTATAATATACCATTATAGAGGTTATATTATATAAATAATAAATAACAAAATATGAATGAAATATTTCTATTATATTATTTATTTTCATTAGATTCTATGGATTAAAGAGTCTTAAAGTAGCTCTTTCTCATCATCTTTGTGCACGTATTCAATCGTGTCGTGGAGATTTTCGATCAGCATTAACGAGTGAACGTGAAGCTTATCAAATATATAAATTACAAGTAAATATCTATTTATTTCAAGTTCAACGAAATTAATGACTTGCTGTTTTTTTTATAGCTTGGTGATGAACATGAACGAACACGTGAAAGTGCGCAAGTACTTAAACATTTAACTGAACAAGCTGTTGTTTTACAGAAACGTATGAATGATGTTGTTAAAGGACAATTACTTATGATTCCAAGCATAACTGTATATTTAAATTTATTTGAAATATAGAAATAGAAATAGAAATATTTATTTATAGATACAACAACCAAGTTTTCAGAATGTTTTGGAAATGCTCAATGTTGTTAATGGAATTTTATTTATACAAATACGAGAAAAAGATCTTGATTTAATTCGTGACGAATTAAATAAACAAACGATTAATGATCAACAAACAACAGCAACACCTTCAATTCAAACACTATCAACTGCTGCGGAACAAGCAGCAGCATTAATGAATAATGAAGTTGATTGAAAAAACATTACTAGTCTGATACATTTTTTGTAGTTTCTAGGCCAATTCTTTTTTCGTTCTATACTCATGCGTGTGTGTTTGTTAAAAAAGTTCTTGTTGTCTAGTCTTTTCTTTTTTAGTAGAGCCAGTTTTGTAGCATAGCACATTATCCTAATCAATGTGTGATTATACATGTTGTTTGTTTTTCTTTTTTTTTCTCATCGAATTCAATTAGGTCAATGTGCTAAATATTAATCGGAATTTTGATAACCGATTTTTTTCTATCTGACTTTGTTGGTTTTCCCAAAACATTTTGTATTGTTTATTGATCGATTTGTTTAGATCTACAAGAGATTTCTTTTGTTTATTATTTTTTTCCAATAAAAAATACATATAACAAAACAAAAGTTTATTTATCCATTTTTAAAAACATATTTATGAAAATATCTATTTTATAAGATTAAATTTAATTGATGACATTGAATTCACCATTCTCAATTATTTGGCTTGATGCTCATATTGGTTTATCTACGGAATGTCGAGGATTGAAAACATTATACCAATCAGAACTTGCACTTGCAGCAGCAGAGTTTCCTGTTCCAGTTGATCCGATTGATGCAGCGATCTGCTCTGATATACGTGAATTTGGTGCACCTGTTTCGTTTGCCGCAACAATAGAAGATGCATTACAACTTATTGATGCAAATTCATATTATCAGAAAAAGATAATATTTATTACTTCAGCTTCATTAGGAAAAGAGATTATTCCAAAAATTCTGGAAGAAAATTTTTCTATTCATTCATATTATATATTTTGCGCCGATATGCCATCGAATGTTGAATGGGCATTAAAATGTCGTGAGGATCATGGCATGGATATAAAAATGTTTGATCATGAAACAGATCTTTTAATACGGTTATCTAGAGATTTAAGTGATGCGTTAATTGAACAAGGAAAACTACTATTTGACAGTAAGCCTAAAGAAGCTCTTAATTATTTTGAATGTGCTCGTGCATTAGCTGAGAAGGCTGTTGAACATGATACACCCAAGGATAGTAATGATCTTCATCGTCCATGGACTACACATCGACGAATTTTAGGTGGTGAAAATGGTCTTATCGCGCGAGCAAAACGAGCATGTAATAACAATTAATCATAAAATTATTATTTTTACAATATAAAATGAACAGTACTAATTGCATCTATACAAGTCTAGTGTTTGTTTTAAAATTTATATTGCAATTTTTATATAATACAATTTTTAAAATAAAAAAGTTTACTACTACTCATATTAGATGTAGTATGTGAAAGTAAATAAAATATTATTTGATGAAAAAACTATAGAGCTTGATTTCTCCGATTCCCCCTAATAACGCCGAAAATAAAAATGTCGAATAGTGAAAATATCAGGATGTGGGTGTGAGTAAGCATGCAGGTAGCAGAGTATGGTTACTGTAATAACCACACCCACACCCTCAAACACCCTGTAAGAGATTTCTTTTGTTTATTATTTTTTCCCAATAAAAAAATATATATAACAAAACTAGACACCTGCGGGACAAACTTTTGTATTGTCTCGATCTCGAATATCCCGCCTCGAAGTTTTTCAAATTATTCTGTCAAATTTATTTTGTCCCGCCGACCAGAAAATATACAGATGTCACTCTGTGGCTGAAAACAACATATCTTCGCTGTAGCACCAATAAACTTCAACACATGCATTCACATGATTGGTGGATAAACCAACATTTCATTCAACAGTTCTAATAAGAAATAAAAAGAATTGAAACCTAATATATATTTCAGTATATCGATCAAATAGAAAATCGGAACTTCTGATTTTTTTGTATTGTCCCGATTCCGTTTGTCCCGTCCCGAAAAATTTTCAGGGCAAGTCCCGATTGTCCCGCGGGATGAGACATTCAGGATTTTTAGGGATTCGGTACTGCCCCGCAGGACTCTAAACAAAACAGAAATTTATTTTTCTATTTTTAAAAATATATTTATGCAAATATTTATTCTATAAGATTAAATTTAACTGATGACATCGAATTCACCATTCTCAATTATTTGGCTTGATGCTCATATTGGTTTACCTACGGAATGTCAAGGATTAAAAACATTATTTCAAGCAGACCTTGCACCTGCAGCAGCTCAATTTCCTGTTCCAGTTGATCCTATTGATGCAATGATTTGTTCTATACGTGAATTTGGTGCATCTATTTCGTTTGCCTCAACAATAGAAGATGCATTACAACTTATTGATGCAAATTCATATTATCAGAAAAAGATAATACTTATTACTTCAGCTTCATTTGGAAAACAGATTATTCCAGAAATTCAAGAACGAGATTTTTCTATTCATTCGTATTATATATTTTGTGGCAATATGACATCAAATGTTGAATGGGCATTAGAGTATTTTGAGAATGGCATGAAAATACAAATGTTTGATTTCGAAATAGATCTTTTGATACGCTTATCTAGAGATTTAAGTGATGCATTAATTGAACAAGGAAAAATATTACTGAATAATAATCCGCAAGTAGCTCTTAATTATTTTGAATGTGCTCATACATTAGCTGAGAAAGCTGTTGAACGTGATACACCCAATGATCCTAATGATCCTCATCGGCCATGGACTACACATCGACGAATTTTAGATGGTGAAAATGGTCTTATCGCACAAGCAAAACAAGCATGCAATAACAATACATCATAAAATTATTATTTCTAGTATATAAAGTAAACAGTATCAGTTGTATTTATACGAATCTAGTGTTTGTTTTAAAATATATATCGAATTTAGTATATAGTATAATTTTTAAAATAAAAAAGTATCTTATATTTTATGAAATAAGATGTGCAACCTAAGCAATTTACTTAGTTCTATTTAGAGGATTCGATAGAAATTAAATATTAATAAAAGTTGACTGACGAAATATTGATCTTATATAAATTATCAAACTTATGAGTATCAAATAAAATCACATTTATTGCAGCTTTATAATGTTTTTTTTCTATTAGTTGTTGACACTACCGACATATTTTATGATAGGTATATATTATGACAGTATGTTGTTTCCTCGAAGAGTAGAAGAAAGTGACGTATAAAATATTCTACATACTTTTTTTATTTTCATTTCTTTGTGTTGATAAGATAACATACTGACATGAGTGAATTCGCGGCAGTACATTGTAATAAAAACTGTAAAAAAAACTACAGGAGAGACATTTTGATAGTTTTTATTGACATTTCGTCGAATATTTGGTGATTCTGTCTTTCAAAAGTTACTTTATATTATGGGCTGTATACTTCCTAAGAAGGTTACAGTTGTTCCAATGATTACCACTCAAACTGAGGATTACTCAGTGAATAATGGTGTAAGGACTGAACAACCAGGCAATATTGTTCAAGAGATATCTCCACGAACGACTCCATTAAAAAACAATCAAGAAATTAAAAGTAGAGTATCATCAAATAAATCAAATAAATCTATTAAACAGGTACAAAGTACTGATGAGTCAACACCTCTTAATATTTGTAATGGAGTAATGCCCTTTCATGGAACAGTCATTAAGCACATAAACACTAAAACAATGATATCGAACATTGATCAACAAATTATCCCCCGTACAACCTCAAGTACATCAAATAAACGAAATTTACACGTTGTACAGGCTACTGATTCAATATTCTCTAATTTAAATGACACAGCAACGTGGCAAAAACCGATCGAAATTATAACTGTTGAGTCTGACCTATCGGATACCTCAGAAGATGAGACTTCTGATGGAACATCTAACGAACAAGATGAATCTAATCTTTCTTACAATGATGTTATCAGTCCGTTGTCTTCAACACATACCAAAAACAAACTATTTCGTCAAGATAGTTCCGTTAGATTTAAATCACCTATACCAAAACATTTCAATATACAACAAGAAACACATGATAATGATCCTTCTATTGACTCGGATGATATTCCATTTTATGGTAGTATTGACAATTCAACACCATCCTGCTCAAAGCAATCATCAATATACGAAGAAGACATATTTCCGTCAAGATCAGCTAGTACTCACAACTTCAATATTGAGCAAAATATTACCGATCATGAATTAGCTAGAATTAAGTCATATGATGCAATTACTAACAGTGCTTCATCAAATGGTTTAGGAAAGAAAATGATACGTCCACGAATTACAGTCAAATCTAAATCTCCTAAAATAAATAAGTCAGATATTCATCAAGGACCAATTACGTATGAAACTTCAAGCAATTCTGATGAATCCGAAATAGAGTGACACGAATAACTAATCAAATAGATAAATCAATTATCAGGGAAGCTATTTTTTGTATACTTATTTAATCTAAAAAATTCATACATTTGGTATTTAGAAATTAACAGAAATAATACTTCACTTCAAGAAATGATATATTAAAACTCAAATGAGACTCGTATATATTTTTTACTCGATATACATAACAGATGACAATAGAAACGAATATATTATCATATAAACTAATAGTACTTCTATACGATACCTAGATAGAGAATTGAAAGGTCACTAGAATTTGTTTTTTTTATATACCTGTTATGTTATTATCTCTTATTCAAACTTTAATCATGAAAAATAGTTTAGAGTCTAAAGTGTTAATAGTTGAATAAGTATACATATTCTTTTTTTTCTTCTTCTGTTTATATTTGCACAAGCTTTCTATCATTATTTAATTGTAAAAATATAGAAATAAAAATAAAATCATTCATTGTTTTTCATTAAAAAATGGAGGTAATAATTCAATTAATCTTCCAACAGCTAATCGTTCGACATCCGTTAATGATGTCGATGAATTTTCTTGAAATTCAAATCTTATTGTAATAAAATGATAAATAATACTTGATTTTAATCGTACAATAATATGTGTAAATAAAAGTGGCCAATTAAGTTCAACACGATTTACTAATGTCTAAAGATTTAAGAAAAATTATTTTATTATTTTTTATAAACGACAGAAAACATACATAATCAATTTTGAATGTTTGCATTGTTGTTTGAAGGCTACGTTTTGACATACGAAGATTAAGATCAGTAAAAGTACGATTATCATTCGTTGTTTTTATAGTTAGATTTTCAGTTGATTGCATAAATTGTCGTTGATTTTGTGCAAATAATTGTGAATCTGCTTGAGATGGATTATAATATTCATTTAATGTTTTAACATCTAGACGTAAACGAATTCGTTCAAAATTTTCATTGAGTATTTCATATATACGATCTGAATAATTCCAGGCTATGAATCATCAAATAAAAATGAATAGATAGAGGAAGAATTTGTTACAAACTTGTTTGTTCATTATTTAACTGATCATGTGGAAAACGAAAAAGTGGTGATCTATAATGAATTAATTAGTATAAATATATTTTCTATTTTATAATATCAATTTAGTATTTTACTTTCGATCAAGAAGTCGTTCAATAGTATGATAAGTATCTTTTTCATGACCTACAGTAGAAAAAATATTATTCAAAAAAAAGTACAAGATAAGAAGGAAAGAAAAAAAAAGAGATGTTACTGGTGTTTTTAAGTATTGTAAAAGCAAATAAACATGGTAACACTGATAACAACCTATATCTATAAACTGCGTATATCCTCGTTAGTCATTTTTATTATAAAATTTTTAGGTGAAACATGTCATTATTAAATGCTTTTATTGACTCTGTTGTTTGCGTTGGATTTAGTTCAGAACGTGGAGCTGCGTTAGATCTAGAATCTAAGACTAATGGATCACTTTTTACATCTTCTTTACAATCATCTGTATTAGCTATTGTTACAGCTGACCGTGCTATATATCCACAATCGCGAAGTAGTGAATCGATTGATCCATTTTATCCACCGATAGGTCGTATAAGTTCATATTCAATTACACAACCATCTAATAATTCAGGTCGTACAACACCTATATCACCATTTGGTATAAATATAAGAACTTCAAAACAACATATAATACCCATAGTTTATAATAATCTACCACTTTTTTGTTTTCCTGATGGTGCTCAAGCAACTTATGAACAAGCAAATGAACGAATTCATCAAATTGTATTTACACAAGAAGATGGTAAACGTAGTTATGCTGTAGTACTTACATGTCAACAATCATTTATTCTTAAAACAAATAAACCAGATGATGATGGTATATATCAGATAAATGATGTTCAACGACCATTAGTAACTACAAGACGACCAAGTATATCAAAAATTCCAATAGCGATTGAAAAATTAAAACCTACTTTATCATCTACACCTGTCACTATAGCTCCAGCTGCGTCTCCGGCACCCTCAACCCCAGCAACAGCATCGAAGACGCGTTCGAAAAAAATGCCTTCATCATTTCATTTTCCTGAAACACTTTCTGGTAGTAGATCACGATCAACTAGTTCGAGTGATTTATCGAAACAACCTCATTATGTAACACCTACTCTCAGTAGTTATATGAAAAAGTTTGTAATTAAAATTATTTTCCTTTATATATTATTATAACTGCACTGTGTTTTAGTTTATCACCTTCAGCAACACCTCCACCTACTCGTATGGTTCGTACAAATAGTCAAAATAATTTAGCAGCTATGAGTGGTAATACTCCAAGTACTCCTACTACATCACGAGGACGTTCTAATTCGAATGCATCTCAACCACTACCTTTAACTACAGCACCATCATTACCAACACCAGTATCAACATCAATATCAACATCAGTACCAACATCAACATCAATACCAACATCAATATCAACGTCAAAACCAATTGATACAACAAAACCATTCTATTTACCACATTGTATTGTTCTTATATCTTCTCAACCATATTGGACTGAAATGCAAGAAACAATTACACTTATTCACGATGAAATAATGCAATCGAAAATTGAATTAAATTCAAGTGCATATAGATTATTAATACAAAAATATGCATTTCTAGCTTGTAATACACCAGTACCACCAATACCATGGGAACGTTTTTCACTTTCATTTAGTTTAACACATAATCAATCTGTATTATTATTTGATCCACCAATTAACATCAATCGTACAGTACTTGATTTAGATTTATCTATTCTTCTGTTAACACTTAGTATTGGCAAATTACTCGATGTATTAGCAGCAATATTTACTCAACAACCAATTATTTTTTTTAGTACAAATTATTCTAAATTAGTTACAACACTTGAATGTCTTCTTTATTTAATTTATCCATTAAAATGGATTAATATTTATGTTCCACTTGTACCTAATGGTTTACGTGATCATTATCTTGAAGGTCCACCAGGTGCATATATTATGGGTACACATTCACGTCATCAATCCATTGTTGAACAACTTGATATAAGTTTAACATGTAATTTAGATAATGATAAAAATATTCATGTACCAAAAGATATTAAATTTCATCAAATACCATCAACTAAACTTCAACATTTTATTGGTCCAATAACACAATTTCTTGAAGATATTAAAGTATCACGATCATTACAAAATGTTCATACACCTATACGTTTACGTATGGATCAACAACGTGAATTTGAACGTAAACAACGTATAGAAACAAATCAAAAGATAACAAAAATATTTCTTGATTTAATGGTTGATTTATGTGGTGATGCATTACAACCAATCTATTGGAAAGTCAATCATCAATCAAGTCCAACAAATACATTAACAAAATCATCAAAACGTGAAAGAAAAAATTCAATTCATCCACAAGCAATAACATCATTTAGTAAAGAACAATATTTAAATTCAAAAGCTGAAAGTATTGAATTAGATTTTTATCGACAATTTGTTGCGAGTACAGCATTTCAACTTTTTCTCGAAGAAGAATTAACATCAATAACACCGACGATATTTAGACAAATTTGTCACGTACATTTATTATCAAATGAAGATCAACTTTATCATATTGATCATACATTAGAAGATATTGGAAATACTGAAGTAAAGAAAAATATAAAATTCTAATTCATATAACTTGACTTTTCAATTTAGAATGGATCAACAACGACATTATGTGAATCAATGTCTTCACAAATGTTATTACCATTACCAAATTGGCCATTAAATAAATCGACACATTATTTAGATAGTTGTATTGAAACATTCTCTAATGAATTACAACAGGCACAACAAGAACGTTCACCAGCTGTAATTGCAATCTATGCTTATCTACGTGGTTGTGCATTATTAGCTCGTGGTAATTTAATTGATGGTCTTCGTGATCTCTATTTAATTGATAATCCAAATTTATTTCCACGTGATTTTATTGAAAAAAATATCGTTCCTCGTTTATCTGATGAATGTTTACTTGATTTATTTCTTCATGAAAAATTCTATACAGAATCACCGGAATGGAAAAAAGTTCAAACACGTCCGACACAACGTATGTCAAAAATTGATCTTGATGAAAGTGGAAATTCATTCGATGAACAAATCTCTGATAAATCATCAAGTGATTTTGATTTAAGTAATGAAATGATTGTTGTTGAAAATGCTCTTACATATGAACAATTTTGTGAACATGTAAGTCGTTTAAGTATTGCAGTTGATAAAGAAACAGCAGAAAAATTATTCAATGCTTTATTATATTGGACAGATAATTCAATAATAAAAACTTTAAAAAAAGATAAAACATTAACGAATAATAATACAAATAAACCATCTGAAACACTTAAACCATTAGGTAGACGTGTATCATCTGCAAGTATTTCATTAAAAGATACATTAACTATGCTTAATGATCATAAACGAGATGGTCAATCTCCAAATGCTTCACCAAGACCATCGACACAACATAATTCAACTCTTCCTGCACAATTATTCGAATCATTTCTTGAGAATTGGCAACAAACAAATGCGGAAAAAATTCGAATGAATTCTTGTTTACCCGATGATCGACAAAAACAAGAATCAATTTTAAAAGTAGAATATTATTTTTCAAAAAAAAACAATTCAATGTTTCTTTTTCCTTCTTCTAGATTTCAACGTCTGGTGTTGTATCAAAAAAAGATGGTCCAGGACAAATAGTTTTAACACAAAAACGTCTTTATTTCATACCGGAAACACGTTCATCTGCACGTCTTCTTACTGAACTTATAAATATAATATCAATTGATAAATATCAACATCAAACAGTTTTTTCATCATCAAAACCAGGTATTAAAATCTATACAAAATCAGCTGGAGCAAGTACATCATTACCACGTGATACTAATGCAACATTAAAAGCAAAATCTTCATCATTAGAAAAAGATTCAAAGATATCAATTAGTTTATTTTTTAAAAATAATCATGAACAAGAATTATGGTATATACTTATTATGGAATTATGGTCAGGTTTAACAATTGCGCATGAACAATGTGATACAACTGTACTCAATAAAGCTTCAAGACATATTGCACTTATGGATACATTAGCTAATATGGATTATGAAGAAGAAACAATGACACCTATTGATAAACAATTATTAAGTTCTCGAGTCAAATCAAAACAACGTCATAATGAAGTAACGACATATTTTGATAATAATTTATGATTATTTTTTCTTATAGGCAAGTCGTGAATTGGCTTTGAATGATTTATCAACATTTACTCGAATGCGTCAAACTGGTACATTTAAACCATTATCGGATGAAACACGAAATGTTCTTACTCGTCGTTTATCACCATCAATAAATGAAAGTGAACGTCATGCTGTACGCTGTCTTGTATCTATTGAACATCCAGAAAATGGACGTTCATCACTTTGGTGTTCATACGGTTCCAAACTTAAAGTATTCAATGTAGCAACATGGATATGTGATCCAACTGATATATTATTTTCATCGGAAATAACATGTATGTGTCTTGATGCACGTCATAAATTATGGGTTGGTTGTATTCAAGGTGAATTATTTGTTGTTGATACAATTACACGTACTTGTGGAGCACAATTAGCAACAATTGAGGGTGAAGGTGGATGTCAAAGTATCGCATTTGATACAGTACATAATCATATTTTAACTGCTAATCGAACAAGTAAAGTAATTTTATGGAATGCATCGAATTGGGAACGTTTAAGTGATATTAATTTATATGATATATATACAACAACACATAATATTCAACAAAGAACATTTAAAAGTGAAGGAGTAGTAACATTTCGTAATCAAGCTGGACAACCAACGAATGAACAAAATAATATGTCAAGTTAGAATTTATTATTATATATATAATTTCATTTTTTATCATCTATTTAGATAATTCATCAGGTAGTGGATCAGCTCAAGTTACTCCATCACCAACAGATAAACTTGAACGTATACAAATTTATGAAGATCTATTATTTGTTTGTTATCGTGATGATTATATACTTGTTTTACGTAAATCTGATTCAAATACATATATGTATGAACATTTAATATCAGTTAAATATAAAACAGGTGATTCAACACCAATTGAATCATTTCTTGTTTATAATAAACAATTATGGATATCAACTGGTTGTATTATTCATATATTCAATATAAATAATACAAAAAATAAAGATTTATATGATTTATTAATGAAAAAACCAGTTGATGATGATCATCTTATAACAATGTTAGGTTTTTCAGGTTATATATGGGCTGGTTCATTACGTGGAAATGTTTATGTATTTCGTATGGATAATTATGAATTATATAAAACATTTGCTGGACATCGTGATAGTGTTTATAGTATATGTCCAATGTTAGATATGTATGTTGTTAGTGGTTCAGGACAAAATGATACATCAATTGCTATTTGGGAAAATATACAAACATCAAATGGTACAGCATCATCAACTACAAATGCACCAGCAAAACGATCAATGTTCAATACATCAAAAATTCCAAAAACAAATGATACGAAAGGAGACACTTCTAAATCTATTGATATGTTATAATAAATAATATCTACCTGTTAGAAATAAATAATAAATCGAAGCACATTCCATTTTATGATCAATCATATATTGATAAATTAAACGAGCAAAAATCTAGAATAATTGAAATTCATAAGAAAAAACGTTTTTATATTTATGAAAACAGACAAATCGTTTAGTAAATTGCGTTTGATGTTGATTGATTGTACAAAGTAAATGATAAAAAGATAATGGAATATTAGCGATACATTGTTGAAGAGATTTTAAATAAATTAATTTTTCTTCGAAATGTTCTAAAATAAAAATAATTATATTTTTTTCTATAAGAATTTCTTCTAACGTTGAAAAATCGATTGTTCGATTTTTAATCGCCATTCACGATCTTTTTCATTTGCACATGTATAACAACATCTAGCAAAGAATTCTTTCCAATAATTCATCATGATAGATAACCATTCAGGTAACTATAAACATACAAATCATCTTCATAATCAAAAAAACAACTCTGTATTACTTTAGTTGGTAAATTATGTATAAATGACCAATCACGTGTATATGTAACAAATAAATCTATTAATTCCCATTGTTCATTTTTAATAATTAATTGTATAATTAATGATTGATATGTATCTAATTCCGAATTTTCAATTAATAATGATACAAGTCTATCAATCGGAAAATTATTTTGTTGTGTTTCAAGAAAATTTTTCATAGTTAAATATGTTTGAACTTGTATTCGTATTTCATTATTCATATCAAACCAATCCGGTCGAATAATATTTAACCAATTTATTTTCGTTAATAAATTTGTCGATCGTTGAACAATAATATTATCTAATTGTTCATATAGAATATCACAAGGACAAGTTACAAGAACAATAGCTGCTAAAATTCCATTTCCATATTCTAAAAATTTCGATCTAATCAAACAAAACATTTAACACACAATATGAAATTTTTCCAACTAACATACTCGATATTCTCATTTTTAAATAATAAAAATTCTTTTGTTGAATCTTTATAATTAATAAAATAATGTGTATATTCACTAAAATATACTAACGTAGCTAGAAGATCTGTTTTATATTGATTTTGTCTAGCATAAGATATTTTAATTGATGCATAACGATGATAAATAAAATTCATTAATTCAAGTAACATATATGGAATGATGATTGAAAGTAAACTTGGACAATATTGTTTTAAATATAAATGAAAACGATTAAAATGATAAAATAATGTATCAATATAGACTGAATAACGTTGATTTTCAAAATATGATTTTGTATTTAACCAATCATCAGCATCACAGTCATGTAATAGATTAATTTTCCAATAAGTTAAAATAAATTGACAAAAATTATATAGAAAATATTGAAATTGTTCATGATGATATAATATTTCGATACTTGATAGAGATGATATTAAACAAATACAATGTTCAAGAGATGTTGATGATGGATAATTTTGAATAATCTAAATAATGAATAAAATATTTTTAATAAGAAATTAAACTTTGTTTTACATTCAAAGCTTTGTCAAGTAATTGTCGAAATTTATCATTACATTTTTGGATTAGATTTGATGAATTTTTTGATATATTTGCATCATCTAAGAATATAAGTAATTTACTTATATCCTAATAAATATGTATATAGATGATTTATAGATTTTTCGAAAAATGAACTTACAGGATAAATGAAGAAAACTGAATGTCTTGTTGGGCATTTATATCCTTCTAATTTATTTAATGAATCAAAATGATTGAAAATCTTTTTATTTGAAATATGATCTAAAAATTTTTCGATATTCTATGAGAATTGAAAAAAATATTTTATTAAATCATACCAATTCTTTCTTGAAGATTAGCAAGAATAATATTTGAAAAATATTCATTAATTATCATACAATCCTAAGGAATAGAACTTATTTTAATTTTAATAAAAATTTATTATCTACGTGTTTTTCATCAATTTTATTTAATTGTTCACAAAGTTGACTTAATGGTCGAATAAAATGATTTAGTGATGAATATTGATGTTGTTGTTTATCGAATTTATTTTTTAAATATTCATTTAATTCATCAAGTATAGGTTCAAATAGATGAAGAACCAATGAATACCATATATTTATTGTATTTTTAATTAAATTTTCATTACTAGAATAAAGTTTCAACGATCGTTCTAATACACATGCTAATAGAAGCATTTTTTCTCCATTACCACCCCATTTTTGTTTTTGTGTATCTTTACGAAATTGAGCAATAAATGATTCAACAATTGATTGTCGAATTGAATTAAATGATAAAATTAATTCAGATGATGGTACAAATTGTTTAAGAAGTTGAAAAAGTGATGGAATTGATGATGAAGAAAAACGTTTTAAAAGTTCAAGTTGATATTGAATAAAATCATTGGGATATTCCTGTTGAGTAATAGGATTGTCTAAATGAAGAAATGCTCGAAGAATAATTACATTTTCCAATGGATTAGCTTCTTGAAATGTATACTTAAAATACAGATAATTTTTAAGATAGAAAATAATTAGAAAAAAAATCTTACTATAGTTTTAAATATATCATTGTCCGATTTTGATTCATGATGACTTTCGTTTTCGCTCATAATATCATTCGTTATAATCTAGTTTTATCGTGTAAATTACTTAATAAGTGTCAATCAGCCATCGATAAGAACGTTGGCAAGTAAATATGATAGCAGTTCTTTAAAAATTCTCATAAGTGAGTATAGGTGTCGTTGAGCGACGATATTAACTTTTTATAAACTATATTCTTTTCTGAGTAAAAATAGCTTTCATAAGTGCACATGATCTCGATCGAAAACAATATGTCTTAAATCAGAAACTTTAGATGTTTTATCCATCTCAGAATTTATTTTATAGATTTTCTTTTTATCATTTATTTAATTCTTTATTGAGTGAATCATATTTTTTCAGTTTACATTATTCATACATGTCAGGAGAATCGAATCAACTGTAACATGTTGTTTCTTATTCATCAATATTATATTTTACATAAAAACTGTATAAATTTAATATGTATTCTGTACATCTTATTTAACCAAGCGTTAAATATATCATGTTCTCTCGCATCCAATACTTCATCAACATTTTTTTTATATAATTTACTTTTGATTAAGTATAAAACTAAATATTATAATTGAGAGTTAGAGATCTAACAATTAGTATCATGTTTTTAATTAAAATAACAAACTAATGGTGTATTCTATATTTGCTTGACTAATAAAAGATTCTATAGAAGTATAAGTTGTGTGAACACATAGTATATTCGTGATAATCTCTTTGTTGTAATACATTGTATCTTGAATCAGTTTGGATAAGTAATACATACTGAAATGATAGATACTCAATAGAATTGTATAACTGTATCATTAACACTGTTTTTTTTCCAAAAGAAATGCAGTTTATATATTAAAAATGGTGGTTTATATGTTTGATCATTACTAATAATACATTCTCTAAACAATTTATTGAAGCGTAGGCAGCGAGAAAGACTTTTCGATAGTCTTCGAATTTTTCGAGACATGATATATAAAAATGTCTCGTCTATTTTTAATTTCTTCTGTTTTGACATTGAGTCATTAATTAGTTTCCAGTGTTTTCCATTCTTAGATGTTCTATATTGACGTATGCGTTAAATGAGAGCATTCAGCTGTAACATGTTATTTCTTACTCATTATTATTTCATTTTCTTTAAATACTGATCACATTTGATATATATTCTATCAATTTCATTTTATTAAATATCAAAAAACATCATGCTAGTTCGAAATCGACACCGAAATTTACATTTTGTACCTTATAATCAAGGTCATCGTCTAGCAACATCATACCCTACACAAGTACCAAATTATCAAACGTCATTGGCAACTCAAAATCTCAATCAACAAGAAAAAACTTCATTTCCTGAATTAGTTGGCCGAAGTAGTAGAGAAGCAGTTGCTTATCTTTCTGCTCGAGGTACTAATTTTATTTATGATTTTTAAAATTAATTTTCTATATTTATATTTAAGGTTTAAAACCAGTGCTTGCCAAACCTAACCAAGCGATGACAATGGATTTTAGAACTGATCGTGTTCGTATTATAACAGATCCAACAGGACGTATAGTAATTCAAACACCTAATGTCGGTTAATTTATGCATATTTTTTTGATTTTTTAATAAAACTTCGGTGCACTTATTCATAAATTTCTTTTCTTCTCATGTTTAGCATCTATTACATATGAATAGATGAATTAGCAAAAACTTTGTTATTGAAATTGAATTGTCGATGTACTTTCAGGAAAATTTTTCTTTAATCTTGAAAAATTTTACATAAGTGATTTTTGACGATTGCAAAGTAGATGAATTAAACACATCTTGCATTCTTTACATCTTTTTTAATATTGATTTGATGATTAATTTTTAGTATGTGTTTCATTTGTAAGTATTTT